TTGTTAATAAGAATTAAGTGATAACGTTAATGATTATTATAATCATAACAATAACGGTATAAAATTATTACAATCACCATAATCATTATTTGCTTGGTTGATTTTGATCATCATCAAATGATGATTCTTTTCAAAAATAAAACCATTTTAGCTCAAGATTGATATGGAGAGCCCGTATCCGGAACGGTTGTTGATTTAAAATTTTTTCATCATAATTACTTTGCTGAGAACGGAAAAACCTGAGGCCAATGTTGAAGCAGAATGATTCCGTTTTGTTTAGTTGGTGGTTGCGTGCCAAAATAATAAAAATTGTGTTTGGAAGTAAAGCAACTCTTGCTTTGGTCCATTTTATCGTTGGTAAATATGATGTGTGATTGATCACGTTCATTGTTTGATTTTTAATTGGATTATATATGATTTTGGTTGTGTTTACTCTCGACACTGGAATCCATGTCCATTTGTTATGATGCAAATTGTGAAAAAATCTCTGATAATAATCATTCTTTGCTGGTGGATATGAAAGCTGATTATAATCTTTTTTGATTGTTTTTCTTTCTTCCCAAGTTTCTGTATGATTATCGATTCTGATCACAATTTGCAAATTGACTTGAACAATCCATTCTTGTTTGATCACTTTTGAATAATTTCTTTTTTTAGAAAACATTCGATGGTGTTATTATTTGAAAAAAGAAAAGATTCTCTACAGCAACACTGTTATTGCATCGTTTCATTCAATTTATTCTTGAAATAACACTAATGAGCACGATTTGGAGTGAATCGATTTTGTTTTGTTTCACTAATATCCACTATATGCTCGCATATTGCTTTTATGGTTGTTAATGATGTAGATGGAAAAGGAAAATATAAACTTATTTAATGTAGCAAAAAGATTCTGAAAATCCTCAACAAATGAATTTTCTCCATCACTACATTTCGTTGACAAAATTGAAATGGATGAAAATTAATCGAATTTTTCCAACAGACAAAAATGAAATTCAAAATCTTTTACAAATTCAAAATCCAAAACATTAAATTCTTTTCTTGAAAATAGAGCTTTAGGACATGAAAAATGGCAATTCTTTTTTGTCTGGGTTAATAAATAATAAACAAACCGAATAGAAGAAATTATGAATTGCCTAGACATCTATCATGTCTTACTGAGAGAATTGTTCTTTTTTTGTTTGTTTGTTGGCCGCATTGTTATTTCCGTTAGGCTTGAGGCTAGAAAAGAGCAGACATTTGACTTGTTCAATGTATATTCTGTCTCTATCTGTATAGCTGACAACACACTATATAAACTAATAAAGCAATTGATTGTAAACATGTTTGTTGTTGTTTCTCAATGAGATCAATTACTCATTGATCAACTTTGTTGTGAAACAGATATGTCCAACACATTATCATTGTTGTTGTTTTTTGGCTGACATTTTGACAAACCATTATTCCATACATTCCAAAACATTTGCTTAGTCAGATTCAGTGCTATTTGCTATGTGGCAAAATTGATCAAATCAACATAGGCAGAACCAAATTATCAACTTGAAAGAATCTTTCGTTTGTTTGTTTGTTTGTCCCAAATGACTTTATTTTTGTTTGATTTCTTTTCTTTTGATCATTTGAAAAAATGAAACAATTGCTAGGTTTCCCATACACCTGCAACCAATCAATCGAAAATCAATCGATCAATGTTGATTGAAATGGAAAACTTTAGTGTTGTTATAATGATGTATGCATTTGATTCATGCAAAAATAATCAAATCATTGGAACAAACATAAGAATGTAAAGATATAAATTGCAAGCAATAAATCATTTTGTTCATCTTATAACCACCAAATTCAATGCAATTTGAAAAAATATTATAATGATGAACCCTAATATGGATGAGTTTATTATCTGCTTCAATATCTTCACTGAAATAAATGTCTATATTGACATGCTCACAAATAGCCAATTCAAGTGTGAAATGGGTGTTGAATAAATTTAAATTTTTCCAGCACAACTACACAACTACAACTCCACACTCATTCCACATTTAAAATTCTGTAAATGAAAATTCCTGACTTAAATATTTTATTTGTTGGTTGGTTCGTTTGTCATGTCTCTCTGGCCGAGATGTTGAAATTAATTAAATTTTAAAAATCATTAAAATTTTATTGAAATTCAAATCCAAACTTTTGCTCATGTGATGATGGTGGTTTTCGCGAACAAACAACGCAAAAATTATTCCATCATGAAATTGAACTTTTTGCTGAATCAAATGAAATGTTGAATTAATTTTACCTTTTTCATTCCTCCGATGACATGGCAGCAAGAATTTGGTTCATCTTTTGTTTGATTCAATTTATTTTTCTCTTCCATATTCCGGCCACCTTTACCAAATAACCGTCATGGCAAAATAATATAATTTTCTCGCAGTTTCAGTTTTTGCTGTATGTAAATTGAACACAAATGTGCAAAATAACCAAATAATAGACAATCACAAGAGAAAAGTATGATATATTTTAAAGCCTTTAGGGTGATGCCAAATCAAGTAAAAAAGAAATCTCAGAATTTAGATAGTGGCAAATGATCTTTCATCTTGTTTTGCAGCAGAATAAATTTTCCATTTTCTCCTGATGATCCTGTCAAATTTGTTTTGCAGCAAATGGCAACAACAAGAGAGAAAATAAATTGATGATCAGCATTTGATTGTTGCCGTTTTGGGCCGAAATCATCATGTCGATGGGAACAAAACAAATCGAAGCAAAGATTTATTTTGATATGAATATTATGGCCTTTCTCCCCATGTGTCATCTCCATCATGGTGGTGTTTGTATTTGCAACACAACAATAATTTGGTTCCCATGTTGTCAATTCCGATTTTAAATAAATTCGGTCGATTTTTGTTTTATGTTTCATGTTGGAATGGGCGCAAACAATTTATTCGTCAGTCAGTTCAAGCATCAGCCATTGTCATGAAATATTTATATTGCGCACAAAAGACATCTGTTTAACAAAACAAAATTATCTTTTTTCGCATTCATTCGTGGAATTTTTCCTCATTTTCAAAACACACAATGCATTATGATTGGGAAAGAATTTACCAAATTTGCTCTTCACTGCCTTTATTCATCGTCATTTGCATTTCATTTTCACAATGATAATAACTGAATTAAAGAAATGTTTTCATCATTCTCTCAAAACAAAATTCTTACTTAAATTTTATTGGCAAATGCAATTTGTATCAATTTCACAAATAATTTCAACTTTCATTTTAATGTTCATTTCTCTCATTTGCAGGGCAAACCAAATAATAATGTATGCTTGGGGCCATATAGCCATATAGCTTCCAATCACTTGCTCCTCTCACATCATTTGTGAGAATCTTTTTGTTGAAGAGATTCGCTATTAGAGAAATTCATCAGAATTCTTCTCATCTCCTATTTTATGATCTTATTTCCTCTTGAAATTTGTGATTTTTTTTTGTTGAAATATTTGTAAAGTTTGTTTAAGTGGAAATATAGAGAGAGAGAATTGTTTAAGGAAAAAATAACGTTAGTCGTTGCAAGTACTACACGATCAACTAGAGGATGGTGGCAATCAAAATAAAGAATTTATTAAATGGGTAATGTCCAAACAATCATATCAAATCCAAATTGAAAAACGGCCAATTTTTTATTTGTCATGTCCACAAACACACTCTTTTCACTTTTTTTTAAAAAACTGCAATTTGATTTCGAGCAAAGTGAAAAAATGGTTCCGTTTTTGCTGGCACAGAAAATGGCGTGATATTGGGTCATCATTTTGTTTCATTTTGTTTGGTTTTGTTCTCACATGACATGGATACTTGGTTGCTTGATTCATTTTTATCGAAAATCCTTGAAATGAGATTATATTTTTTATTAAGGCAGTTAGTTGGATAGATGTTGTATGATAAAAATTTTTTTTTTCAAAAATGAAATAAAATATTTTCCTCATTGTTTTGATCATGTCCAAAAATGAAACAAAATGACTTTTTCACATGTTATCGATATCAAGATTGTTTGGAATTAAATTTGGCTTGTTCCCCTGATGATATATCCATAATCCTTGTTATTGATGGTGATAATGACTAAAGGGAATAATATCTATAAATTTCAAACTGTCATAATACTTTCTCGGATGAAATAATTCAAAGGCAAGAAAAAAGGTTTTTTCCAATTACATTGTTTGCATCATAAATAACATCACCATTTTTCCTCTGGATGACTTGCTTTTTGTTGTTGATTGCTTCTGAAGCGTTTTAAACAATATCTAATTCCCATATCTAAATCCCATATAACAAATGACCCAATGACATTGAATTTTATCATAGTCCAACTTTTCCGTTTCCATTCGATTACATCATTAGTATTGTGTAACACTTCAGTTGTTTTAAAAACTTTTTGTTTTGTTTAAAAAAATGAAATAATCATGATTGGGAGGTCATTTTTCGCCCGAGGAACAATTATCAAGTTGCCCGTTAATTAACTGGTCAAGTGGGGTAGTGATTGTGAATGAATAAAGTTTATCAAATCAAATTGCAATGCTAATTAATCGATTTTTTTCATTTTGCTTTGTTCATATAGAAAGTTTTCACTACACACGACTTCTATCTGGGAATTGCTTGAAGGCAACAATCAATCGAAACAGTGAAATCATTAGCTGAATGAATTTGCATCGATAATTTGGATATTTTATATTTTCAGTGAAATTAGCATATCCAACAATGATCTTATCAATCAATATTTCTTCTTCAAATAAAAATATATAGATTCTATCAACAACAATCAAAAAGAGAATATTGTGCGTGTCTTTCCTACTTTCGTGAATATTCCAAGTTTATTCGCCCTGTATGATTAATAACCATTTTTATATCAACCAGACAATAGTGAAAGTAAATCCCCAAAACAAAAGAAATTTTAATGGATGGATCGATGAGCAACAACAATTCTGTTATAGTTTTGACATATAAAAATTAATAAATATTGATTGTAACAAACAATCATATTATGCTATTACTAACTTGAAACTAAAGTCAACACAACATTGTTGTTGCCATCTAGAGCTTCTCAGCTTTATATTCACTCATTATGGATGTTAACGATCAAAACAACATTGATGATGAACAATCAACACAGCCAAACCTATCATCAACATCCAATGATATTCAAATCAATCAAAAACAATTCACTTCACTTAATAGTAAACAACAAGCAATGACCACCAAAATTAATGGTGGTGGGGCTACAGATGACGATAATGTTGGTGATCCATCCATCATCAATCAGTCGACCAATGCAAAAATCGAATCCATTCAATTAAAGCCACCATCATGCAAAATGTCATCCAATCTTCCACCACATCATCATATACGGGGTGATGATACGCATGAATTGGAAAACACTAGCGGCGCGGATAACTTTAAATCGTCTCGGAGAAGTTATTATTCCGATTCCTCTGATCGAACCAAATTACCGATTCATCAACGTATTGTGGCCTATCTGCGTGTCAAATCTCGTCTATTATCGTGCAGTCTATATTTTCTTGTTATATTTTTATCGTTAGCCGTATTGTTTTCCATTGCAATTGTCATCTACCATTTATTGACCATTTATTACCATAGACAAACCATTTCCATCGACACCGGTGAGTTGTCAATGATTGTCTGCTTTCCGAAAATAACAAAATACTACCCATAACAGACAGTTGCGTTCCCATGAAGGTCACGTTGTGCCAAAAGTTTAACGTTCAGTATGCATATACAAAACTTCCAAATCGCTTTGGTCAAACGGATCAATCGATAATAAATGATAAATTAACATCCACTTATTCGACAATATTGGGCACCAAATGCTATACATTATTGCCTCTATTCTTATGCTCACAATTGGTGCCCAGATGCAATAGCAGTGGACATGCTGTACCAATGTGCAAACAAGTTTGTAAAGGTTCGTAAAGGTCTTCATCATTCCAATCACTCAACACTTTCCACTCAAACAGAATCCATACACCGATGTAGCTTTTTCCTCGATATATTCGATATTGAATGGCCCGATGAAATGGATTGTGACAAATTACCTGATAGTAATGATCCGGATATATGCGTTGGTAATCGTCGATCAATGGAATTAAATCAATTGGCAAATCGACATAGTAAGTTGTTATGCATGAATAAACCATTATACAGCCAAATTAGACAAGTCCAATTACAATCATTATGCATATTATGTTTTTCTTCACCTGTTTAGTCTAGCGAAACGTTTTTGTTTTGCATTTCAATTTCGTTCCAGTTTTGTTTATGACAGTCTGAATAATCGATATAATCGATACTTGAATGTTGTCAATGTTTTTGCTTTTCATTGATTTTAGTTTGCAAGGAAAATGGTTTCCGTTGTGATCATACCAGATGTATACCACCGAATTGGAAATGCGATGGTTATATGGATTGTAATGATTCGATGGATGAAAAACACTGTAATGAATGTCGAGATGATCAATTCTATTGTAGTCATGGTGTTTGTATTAATCGAAGCAACATTTGTGATGGCAAACCTGATTGTCCCGATGGTCGTGACGAACGACAATGCTGTATGTGTCATTATCATTAATAGATTTTCTTTGTTTCCTTTCTTTTATTTTCCTTTATCTTTTTTCTCTTATCAAAATCAATCTATTTTTTGCTACGAAAATGTAGTCCGTCTAAGCGATTCGATGGGTTTAAACGGCCAGGGAAAGTTACAGGTTTGGAATCCCATTCTTGGTAAATGGGATGAAATGTGTGGTGAAGATTGGCAAGTTCCTGAACAAAGCGAACAAGTTTGCCGGCTATTGGGATATCAATCATCAAATGAAACTAGATTACAAGATGAAACCTCAGATTTGCCTGGACAACGTCAATTCCACCATCATCAACGATCACCGAAACCATTACGTTTTTCTAGTCTATTGAATAGACAGGAGGATAAATGCAGAGATTCTGACACAAGTGTGCATATTAAGTGTCATCATTTCGAATGTGGACGATCATCACATTTTCATCAAAGACGACGTCGTAATACACGTATTGTTGGTGGGGAAGAATCTTATCCGGGTAAATGGCCATGGTTAGTTTCATTTCACGGTGGTCCGGCTGAAGTATTTTTCTGCGCTGGTGTTTTGATTTCCGAATGGTGGGTACTGACGGCTGCTCATTGTATTGGAACGTAAGTACACTGTTATTGTTATTGTAGTTTTTCTTTTGAAAATCATCGACCATAATTAGTAAGAACAATACTTCCGGATGGACAATCAATCTGGGCGTAACACGGCGAACATCATCACCATTATTTGTGCGACAACGACAAGTTAGCAAATTGATTAAACATCCCGGCTTTCAAATGTCAATCGATTATTATTACTCGGATGATATAGCATTAGTATTGCTCAAAGACAAAGTAGAATTCGATGAATTTCTAAGACCTGTTTGTCTTCCGGCTAATTCCAGCGTTGAAGTTGCATCAGGTTTGTTTTGGCCTATAATTATGAAAATATCGCTTTGATTGTGTTTGTTCGTTGATGCATATCGACTAAACAACATAGGTACCAAATGTATGGTAATCGGATGGGGCAAAAAAATCCATGATGATTACGCTGATTATCAATCAGCCATTCATGAAGTCGAAGTGCCTATCGTAACCCATTGGAAATGCATCCAATGGTATGCCAAACAATTACCATATCATCCAATACCGACAACAATGGTCTGTGCCGGTTATGAACAAGGTAAAAAAGATGCTTGCCAAGGTGATAGTGGTGGACCGTTGTTGTGTAATAACCAAGATCAAAGCTGGTTTGTGGCCGGTATCGTATCGTGGGGCATTAATTGTGCCCAACCACAATTACCTGGAATCTATACCAATGTACCCAAGTATCTGAAATGGATTCAAACGACAACATCGAAACATGGCAAACCCATTTCAATGGATACATCCTAACAACCATTCCACAATTTGCGAAGAGAGAAACCAATTTGCCTTACAAATTTCTCCTTCGCTCAACACCGGTTCATTTATAATCTTGGAATGCATTGGGCGGTCTATTGAACGTTATTTATGTTTGTTTTTGTTATTTTATACATTTTCTTTAGATTCTAAACAAAATCCTTTTCATTTATTTCTTAATGTTTTGTTTTGCCATCAATGAACCAAACACACTAAAAACAATAGCAAATTGCATTCGATTCATAAAGAAATGAAGAGAATTTAATCAGATCAACAAATATATTCACTTTAAATGCTGAGCTTGTAAAAAAACAAACATCATTTGGGAGAATACATTGAGAAAAGAACAAGATATTTATCGAAAGGTTTTATAGCGAAGCAAAAAATTGCTTACCAATACAAAATGCGTGTAGGTGTTGGATGTTGTTTGAAGATGAAAAATAACACACATAGGGATTATTACTATTTTAGAATTTTCAATTTTTCCTGAACGCAATTGTCACAAGTGACATTCTTTTGGCTGTAACAACAATTCAATTACCGACTGTAATGATAGGAAATTGACAACAATTCTGTTATTAATAATGAAATGCACCCACTTCGAAACAAATAGACAATTGTAACTGTTCAATAAACCACGATCAAAACAAAAACAATATTTTCGCTCTTACATGACATCTACAGGGGATTTATGTTTACAGAATATTGAACGAAAACAAATCTGATTAACTTTACAAATTTTTTGGTTGTGAATTCTTACTCACTTTCGTGCTGATCTGATCTTCCTCTATGTGAATGAACAACAAAACACTATATTTCACAAACACTAACTAACTAAACAAAAGATTCATTTCTTTCTTTCAATTGCTATGTATGTCTTTTTTAAAATAAAATTGAAACAAACACACGATCAACACAAAAGATATTGTTGTTAATGTTGTCCAAAAAATCAAAAAACAGAACTTATTCCTCAAACATTATTTGCTTGTAATTAGGTGAAACCATTTTTCTATTTCCAAACATAAATATTTTCATTGCAAAAACCCAAACAATATTGATTAATTTTGAAAAGAAAAACATATTTATTACATGATTATGATTTATTTTTCTTTTCTTCTTCCCAGAAATAAATGAATGAGTTTCTCGTTTTCAACCATTCTACTATTATTCAACTCATATCTATGAATGTCATTAAGAATGAGAATATTTCCAATTTATTATCGCCAACAATAGGAAAAATGAACGAATTCTCCAGAATTTCGCATAGTTTTATCATATGGCCTTTTTCCGAAATTTTCTAATGGAAAATGACTTGCAAATCATTTTCTTTGATAGATTTGGTTTTGTTTTTTATTTTGACACTTTCATTTGATTTTATGTTTTAGATAAAAACAATGATGATGATCATTTTGGATTGTCTTCCAAAAACAGCATTTCGTGCTCCATTCATACCTTTTTTCTTTTCTTTTTTGTCATAGACTAAATATAAAACAAAAGTCATTTGATGCAACAACAACAAAAACGAGAGAAAACCGTTATTTAGAAAAACAATGCAAAGTAAAAAAAGATTTATTTGTCATGAAATGTGATCTGGCTTGTTGAATGAAACAAAATCGATATAGGGATCAATAGCCACAGTGAAGCAAACAACAACAAAATGATGTTAATGCTGTCAAACGGAGTGACTGATTTTTCATCATCAAAGTTGATCACTGATTTTTTGGTAGGTGTTTTTTTTGGAAAAAAGTTTCGAATGACCTAGATATTGAACATATCATATGACATTTGATTTGTTCAAATCGCGCAAATAATTCATTATCCTAATGATGTTGTGGGGATTAGAGAGCACACTGCACATTCAGGCAATAAGTTCAAGTTGGTCAGTTCTTTTGCCAATTAATAATGGAAAAAATCCCTTTACTCGATTGGCAATTATAATTCAATCTCATAATGATCATTTCATTTAGTTTTCCCCTAGTCGGTCAATCTCCATAATTGATATAATCGATATATATCGGCCAGCCGATAAAGTTTATTGATTGAATTGGTGTAATTTGCAAAAATGAAACGAAAAAGGTCATTGTTTGATTTGTGTTTGTTGATCACCATCATCATCATTATAAAAATGTACATTACCAACATTGATCGATCAATAGATGATTTGTTGTTTGTTTATTTATTTTAGCAATGTTGTGCATTTGTTTGTTTGCAAAAAGGGACAAATCGTGTTTGTTCGATCGTAATAAATCGTCAATAATAAAGTTCAAGTGCGCGCTTATTCAGGCTAACCTTATTAGCGAATTAAAAGGTTCGACTAAGGTAAAATACACAAATCGAATAAGAAACAAGCAACAACAAATTTAACATCATTTTTCTTGCCATATTTGATGAGAAAAATTGCAATATTTCATCGATAATGATGACGATGACATAAATTCATCGAAATTGTATACGAAAATTATATGAATGGAATATGCATGAGAAAAACGACATAAATCTTGATATAAATGACTTTCATTTTGGTTTCTATGCCATCGCTGGCTGATCGATAATAATTATTATTATGCGGAATATTCAACAATACATTTATTGCCAATTTATTTTATTTGAATTTCAAAATATTCTTATGATTCTGTCTTGCCCTCAATTCAAATGAAAAGACATTAATGAGTAGGCAATCAATGATATGGTTACCTTCATTTTACTAGACAACTGAGCATGATTCCATACAATCATTCGGATTCGTTTGAGTAGATTTTTTGTTGCTATTTCATTCATTGGGTCGGTTTTGGCACTCGAGGTTGATCCAACACAATGGCAATTTATTCATTGATATTCATATTGGTCATCAGTTTGCATTGGACCAATAATGTTTTATGCGAGGATAATTCTACCAGCGATGCAAATGAGAATTGTATATGTGATGTTAGATACTTTGGTCAGTATTGTGGTATAACATTGAATGAAAAATCAACCAAAAACCAATGCAATAAAGACATGTATTTCTGTGGTAAATCTAATCTCAAATCGGCAGCAGTATTATTAAAAACATGCAAAATGGATTGTGATCAACAATTGAACGGAGGTTAGTGATGTCATAATCTAATGATTTATTAACGTTATTTCATATCCCAAAAGGAAATGCCTGCTATCAAAATGTGAAATGTCTATGTCCACCGGAATTACAACGCAAAAAGAAATATTGTGGCAGCGAACTGACCGGCGTGGATTGTCAACCCAATATCGTTTACCGTTGTCCAATGGTACGCCGTTATCAAGCTAGCCCTGAAGATGCTTGCCCATTCGGTTGTGAAAATGGAAAGTGCGTGACAGCAGCAAAGTAAAGAATATCACCATGATATTGATAATCCAGTCATAGTTACAAATTGATAATTATTAGATTTACATTTGCAATTTATTAAATAAAGATTATGCGATTATCATTTCCATTGAATGTTTTCGTTTTGTTATAATTTTGTTTGGTTGGAGCATGTTTCAACTTGTTAATCAGATCATTGCATTTGCTGTTGAATAATGATAATAAAATAATGTTTTATTCCCAATTCAACATGATGACCACTAATCAACTAATAAGATATTCAATCAGTGCCAAACCACAAATTACATAATACATGTAACTTCCTCATTTTGCTGTGAATGATCAATCAATAGTTTCTGATTGATGAATATTTTGAAAGGATTGGTCTTTTGCTTATAGTAAATATTCCAAACTATTTTTTACACCTTGTTCTTGTCGGCTGTTCAATTGACGACAAACATCTCCTTTGATTGATGATGATTTTTGTTGTTGTTGCTGTTGAATGGCTTATTTGGATCTAACAGGTGTCAGGTATTGCATGTTCATGTAGGTAACTTTTAATTTTGTTTTCCCTCCAAACGATAAAGGCTGCAATTGTTTTGTTTTGTTTTGTTTTTGTTCATTTTGTTTTCGATTTCATTTGTAAACTCTATAATTTCGATTCGACCTGCAATCATATCTCCAATGATCTTGTTCTCTCTCTCTCTCTAAGCTGGCTTGTTCGGTTTGTCTGTACAAATCAATTATCAAGTTAACAATTATCTATGTCGTAACATATAGTTACCAGGATCTGATCTACTTTCAGTTTTATTGAAATTTAATTAAAAATTTCTTGTTTTTTCCATGTTGAACAAAACAGGGATAAATAAATCCCATCTCACTTTGTAGCCGTGTTATCCGATCTCCACAAACAAAGCCGACATATTGTTCCGGCTCAATGTGAACATTATCTCTCTCTGGGTTTTTTGCTAATTTTATTTGTTTGAAGCAAAAAACAAAAAACTCTAATCAATCAAAACAACTAAGCAAAATGGAAAAAACCAATCATGATGATAAATTTAGTCTCAGCCTATTTGGATTTTTTCGATTCAAAACAAAAAAGTAGCAAAAGAAGATTTTCTAATTAAACAATCTGGTTTTGAAATGGGGAAAAACTCCAGCAAAATAACCATTTTTCCTCCATCAAGCAACAACAAAAGTGAACAACTGTAAGGAAATGTTTGCTTGCTACCATCCTTTTTCCAGATAGGTATGGAGAGTGAACAAATTAAGTGCAAAGGAAAATGCATATATTTGAATCAAATCAACAGACACGATAATTCATCGATTAATCGAATATCACACCTTGATTTGATGGAAATCATTTTCTCACTCACCGTCATCATCATCATTGAATGAAAATGAGATTAATTCAGTGGGAAAAAAATTTTCATTTTTTCAATCAATCGATTTGTATGGTAGGTATTCAATATTCACGAAAAATCAAATTTTTGATTCAATATCCGGGTTGGAAAGAGATATTTCATAGATTGGTGGTTTCAATTCAATCCATAATGATGGTGATTATTTTTGTTATTCATGACAAGTTATCTCAATATAATTCATATCAAACAAAACAAAATTAGATATGCCATCATTATCATTCAAATCATAATCACATAATCAATCAATACAATGGCCCAACATAATTTCCCCGAAAATGTTTGTTTCAGGTCAATTTGATTTTCATGTTTCTGTTTGTTGACAACGACTAATGTGGATGATGATCATCTTGTCAACTTTGTTGTTTATTTATTTGTTGTTCCTGGAAATGGATAGTAATAGTTCCTGAAATTAAAGAAAATTCATCCATTTAGCGCGCAACAGTTGTTTGCTGTTGTTGGGTAATTAATTTCCTTTTTCATTTCATTTTGAATTGAAATTGTCTTCAAAATAAACAAAATGATTTAATACACGGCAATTACCTGATGATCATCTTTCTTTTCATGCATGAAATTAATATGATCACGCTCTCTACTCTGTTGTATGCTGATAAAGATGATTACCGAGTACGAACATCTTACTTTTTATTTATTTTATTTCCGTTTAATTTTTATCGCCCGAGCATTACTATGATTGCATTACGACCATCATTGAAATATTGAGTCATCTCATTGCATCAAGAGAACAAAACAAAACTGAAATGTTGCAATGTTCAATTTGTCGGTCAGATGTTTTTGTTTGGCATGTTTGTCCCATCAAATTCATACATCTCCAACCAAAAGATTTGTCATCATTGATTGTGTAATGGTCGTTTTATGATAATGATTCCCATTAATCAGCTATTGCTATCCAACATTGCTTTTTGATTGATATAGATTAGTTTTATCATCCAGGATGTATATTATTAGTTAATTATCTTCATCAACATTCCGTATGATGATAGCAACACTAATTGTTGATCATCATCATCTTTATATGATTGAAAGAAACATAATTATTAATTCAATTGATTTATTTATGTTCAGTATGGCAATAACAAAAAAGAAGCATTTTCTCTACTCTTTTGTCGAAAGAAAGTTTATCAAACAAATCAATACAAATGATATGACTCTCTTGCCTTCTCTCTTGCTGAAATTTAACTTTCACTCATTACATAACCAAATGACGACAAAAAAGTTTCTCGTTTCAGGTCCTTTCTCTCATCATCATCATCAGTGGCCATTGTCTTTTTTGTTGTTCTGTTTTCAACTGTGATCCCGAAACATTCATCCAAACAAAGCAAAATTGAATGATGATGGTGATATTCACATTTTGGCTCTCTTGCCTTGCTCTTTCCAAAGTGGAAAATGAAAAGTTTTGAAAAATAAAAATAAAATAAACGTCGCCCAAATTGAACATAGATAGTGAAATAAAATGAAAGCAAAAACCAATCATCATTGTGATTCACACTTGGATACTTTATTTATAAGTCATCCATATTGAAATATTCATGCAAAATACATCAAAACATCGACATTGATACTATTTTAATGATAGCAACTTTATCACCATCATCCTAACATCATTCCAATTTTCGGTCAGTTTTGGTCAATTTTGTTTCTCTACCCAGTGTGTGTGTGTGTCTGATGTCATTATTGCTAGTCTCATTGAAAACATCAATTTTTTCGATAGGTATCAGTATCTGTTTTTAGCTGGCCATCTTTCTTATAATGATAAAAAGTTTATGTCCGTGTGTATTTGGTGATGTCCATTCATTTTCCAGCAATAATAGTGATTGTCCAGTTTTTAAAATATCACCCATTTTATATTTATTGTTTTGATGATGATAATGATGATCACCAATCAGTTATTTTGATAGGAAAAGTGTTTGTTGCTTTTATTGTTTGGTTGTTATTTTGAATTATTTTTTAAAATATTTTTTATGCATCAGTTCGGTTGTTCGTTCTCATTTTCTTTTAAATATATTTTTGCAGCCAATATAGTCAATAAGGTGTTGATTGCCAATACAACATTCTTCTGATTTAGTTTTGTTTACGATCAAATCAATCATGATGAAATTCCTATCGACCAGTTTATTATTACTATCGTCATGTTTTTTGGCGATGACATTGGCCCAACGTAGCCAAGGTAAGAGCGATAACCTTTATTGATAATTTTATTTTTTTCCAATGAAATGACCACTCTTGACAGTGACAACAAACATTTTCAAAACTGGATTTTTTTCCTGACAAAAAACTTTCTCCTTTACCGATTTATCATTTTCCATTCAAAAAGTTTATATTTTTTAAAAAATGCTGATATTTATAATTAATGTGAGAAAAGTTTGTTTAGAATGATAAATAGAAATTCACCTGCAATAATTATCTAAATCTGAAAGCTCATTATTATCTGTCATCATCCCTAAAAGGAAACAATTGGTTTTATCATTCATTCATTCATTCCCTTGTTTGTTTTGCATGAATATTTATGGTTAACAAAAGGAAAAAACCAATTTTTTGATGCGGAAACAGTTTGTTTGGGTGCGTTTGAAAATGTTTATATAAAAAATAGCAATCATTTTATCTTTATATAACATTCAATACATTTTTTATAAAAATACATCTGCTCTATAGAAACATCCAAAATAGAATGGAAAATTATAAATTTGTTGAATCAAATGTCCAGTGTGAAATTTTAATGATACAGCACTGTTTATTTATCATCTGATGATGTGAATATGTGACACTATCAAAAAATGTTTAAAGATTATATCAAATAATTATATGATTTGTGTGGATACATTATAATCAAAATGCATTTATTTTGCAGGCAATGGCCCAAATCAATTACAGGCCGGACAAGATTATATTGATATACCTGTGCGTGCTGGTTATAGAATTATGGGTGATGATAGTGAAGGTTACCTAGAAGATGGCATCATTGTTAAAACTAAAGGAACTGGATACATTGCACCAAGATATCGTCAAAAATATTATCCATCTGTTTATAGTGATGTTGTTGATAGCAAAAATGATCGTTATGGCGAATCACCACTGCAACAATCCACCCCAATCAGACAACGAAGATTCGATCATCATTATCATCATCATTATAATCACAAACAATTCGAACCATCCGTATCCGCATCGGCATATGCTCCACGTTATTATCGCCAATCAGCATCATCATTACCGAAAAAATATCTTAAATCTGAAATTATTTATGGCCGTCGTGGTATGTTGTGCTTTTTTTTGATCAAAAAATACTTATTAACACTGTTTTTCACTCTCTTTCATCAACAGAATGGTGATCTCAACAACTAAACAAAATTTCCTGAATAAATATAGCCATTGGTTTTTTGTGCATTTTTGCTCAGTTTTATGTTATTTGCAAATCATTATTGTTTTTTGTTTTGTTTTTGTTGTTTGTTCTTATTATTTTGGTCAATCATCATCATCATCATTAATCGGGTCGAAACATCATCCACATGTGCTGGGTTGTCGTTCGGTATATCACACACCCGAACATGCTCTAGTTATATCATCATTATAATCACCTCACACTTTACACCAACAAACATTTTTTTGTATCTTTTTTTGTTGACGTTTTTTCATTCACTTTTTGACAATTTAATCACAGACACTGTTCAAATCTTCTCAATCCTCACTAATCGCTGTAATCATATCAAATTTGAAAAAGATTTATTGAAAAATTCTGAAATTATAAATAAAATACACATTGTATGAATGTCAGATGGTGTTTATTCTTTGACGTTTGGCCGATAGAAATAGTTATCAATTTGATAATATTTTAATGATTCTTGTTTGTTGTCAAATCGAGCTTCATCATTGTTATTGATTGGATTTTGGTTCATATCCAAACCGGTTGCAAAATTCTGATCATCAATTTGATCAAAATATTCACTATCCAGTTGATATTTGATATGAGCATAATGTTTTTCACAATAAGTTTTTACCTGTTCAATCTGTCCAAACAGACGTCGTTGGAGAAAGAAAAATATCCATGAAAAAACAACGTAAAATAATCGTATTCGCAAAACGTATTGCATTATGAATATGAATATTGAATAATTCAATTTTCGTTCGAATGTATCCAATCGAATCGGATGCTTAACCGTCAATGTATCATACCAATATTTCATAAAACTTTCATAACAAATCAAAAACCGTGGTGCAGCACCTTGCAATGCAAGGAAAACACCTTCAGTAAGATTCATGCCCATTCGAACTGGTGGACTTTGTTCATCCAAATGCACCTTATAACAACGTTCGAAACAAATGTGAAGAAATTGCCGTGTTTCTTCATAACCTTCAACACCGAAACAAATGTTGAAACGATCTTCAATGCCAACACAGTAGCCGATAACACGCCAAAAGTAGAAATATTCTTCAAATTCTTTGTCACTTGTACCATAAAATGCACATTGATCAGGACGGATAGCGACGATACCGATCAATGACCATTGCGTCATGGCCATATCGAATTGACTGAGCCAGATTCGTCGATTTGATCGTGGATATTTGTTATTCATTAACCGTGATACAGCCATATGGCAATTGCGACGAACAGTAATCATCGACTGATGTGTTTTACTTGTTCGATCGAATGGATCATCATCATACCAGGATAATATATGTATTACAGTCGATAGGATTCGCATAAAAACACGATATGGCGAGGATGAATTACCCGTAGCAATAACCGGTACCAATACATCGGGCAAATGTATCAATAAAATATTACCAATAAAATGTGCAATGTTTAAACTGAAAGTGAAAGTGTTAAACTTTTCCCATTTCAATTGAATCAATAATAATTACCTTAGAAAATATTTCCTGGCCATTCGTTGTGACCGCTTGAATCGTTGAGCATCATACCAATCGGGTGGTTGAAGAAGTGGATTAAAACTTGTAATAGGTCCTTTAATATAAGGAGCTTCTTCCGCCAGAATTGACCATTTCTTTTCCAATTTTTCAAAATCAACCATGTTGGCACAAGAATCGTAACAAAAAAATGAACATTCAAATAAAAACCAATCACAATCAAATCACAGTGGTCAATGATGGTGGCCACATCTTTTCATCAACTGAATGTATTTTTGTCGTTGATGTTATTTTGATGCTCATTATGTAATAGTGACAGACATTTCGAAAGTTGGAATTTCGATGATAATAATGGACATTTTTCCAAAGAAATCCTGTGGCTCTTCTTGTCTATATGGCCTTGGATTTTATACTTTGTTACTTTGCTTTATTCGACCACACACTCCATATATTGGCAACTCTCATTTTTATTTTTGGATAAAAGATTGCCTGACTAAAGATTCGAATGAGAAATAAAACGAAATAAACAAAATTTTGCGAAACAAAATGTGATGCCCCTTCAATTGTGAAATTCAAAATAGTGATAGTTATTCTTTTTCTCGGACCAAAAAACAAACAAAACATTGTAAAACATGTTGTTCTCCCCCTGAACTTACTCACTCAAAATCATCAGTCTATTTAGAGAAATAGATTTGTCAAGGCCCATCAATCAATCAATAAATTATTGCATCATCAATACAATTGTTATTTAATGCAAAAATACATTTAATTTTCAATCAGTTTGAGTGTTGTTGTTGTTTTCTCTACAAGGCCCAGAAGATGTTGTACATTGCTGGAACATATCTTGAAGCATTTGATTACAAAGAGCTGCATATGGATTCATTTTGGCCATATAGGCACGGGCAAATTGATTTCCCAATTGGGCTGATTGTTGCATATCTTTTAAACCAAGTTCACGGTTTTCCTCCAACAAATGAATCAATGCTCGTTGACAATAAGCTTGTCGAGCAACTTGTCGATGATGAGGATTCAAATCACCCAACAATTGAATTGCTTCATCCAGATCCTGACGGGCATCGGCTATTCGATTCTGAAGACGATAGGTCTGTGCACGATTATTCAAAACCGAAGCGTTTTCAGGCCAAAGTTGTAAAGCCTGTTGGAAATAATCAAACGCTTGGTCATATTGGCCATTATTGGCTGATTCTATTGCTTTCATTTCTAAACGTTTGGATTCTTGCTGTTCTGCGGTTAATTCTTTTTTCATCAAAGAATTCAGGAATGGAATTTATTGATTTTCAAAATGAATTTTAATAAAATATTAAGGTAGCTTACTTTGAGGATGATCATTCAGATTGACATCATCATTGTCAGCCGGATCCGAAAAATTTTGCTCCACCAAAAATGGATCAAACATAAAATCAATAACTTTTTGATCTTTGTTGTTGGCCATTCTGTTATTGTTGGAAGAAAAAAATCTAATTATATGACTTTAGCAGGTTATATGAATGTAACTTTAATATTAACGAAACTGCGTCACAAAAAATGGAAAATTCTTCTTAAACATGATAAAAATCAAGATGTCCTTGATTCATTCAAAACAGGTAATTTAATTTGCTTCAGGTACATTGAATTGTACATTTCCAAATACAGGAAAACTTGGATTTCTTTTGAAAAATGATTCCATTATCCAATGACAATGTTACTGAATTTTATGTTCAAAGATCCAAATAAGATAATATCGCAATTAGTTTTTTTCAAAGTTTTAGCGCGCTACTAAAATTCATCGATCATGTCCTATATGAATGAGTGATGAATTTTATTCTGAAAAATTAATTTTATTCATCCAAATTCATCCAAAATCAGAATGAATTCAATTGCAAGTTATTTTTGCTAAAATCTTTGGCAAATTTAAATTTCGATTCGAAAAGTGCCCGCTATTATTGCACAAAAATGTTCATTTTGAAAAGCGCTCCGAAGAAAGACACGTCAGAAATTGAAAAAAAACGTGGATCATTCATAGAATGTATGATTGTCATTTTCATTTTATTCTATTTGATTCATCACACGAGTGGATTGTGTTTTGCCGGCGTGGAATTTCATTCAAACATTGTTGTTGTTGGTTAGAGTTTAATTGAAATTCATTTTAAAGGTAACGTTTTGTTGAATGTTTCGGCAAGCAATTTGTTGATAATTTATTGTCATTTCAGCTTCAATTGATTTGGTTTGTTTGGCAAAATGTTTGATTCATCAATGAAATTGTTGGCTATAAGTATATATTGTTCATTATATTTTGGATTAATCCAATCAACACCGAATGACAATTTAATCATCAATGCTAAAGTTGACCGAACAATCGATATTAGTAATCAATTGGTCGTGATTACTTCGCAAGTTGTTGTACTGAATAAAGGCAGCCAGCCAGTGAAAGAATATCTCATACAATTTGGCGATAAACGTCATGATGATAATCTTTCCTATTTATCGGTTTCACGAGTTGATTCAAGTTCGAAAAAGAAAGATGCTCTCAAAGTCTCTAAATATTCCACTGGTGAATCATTTGCATCATATAAAGTTGATCTAGGCCAACATTCGATTCGGTCTGGTTCATCGATTCAATTGGACATTGAAGCCACTTTTGCTCATTTATTGCAACCATACCCTGTTGAAATCAGTCAAGCTGATCGTCAATTGGTTGTTTATTTGGGTAGAATTTATTTCCCAACTCCATATATGACTGAAACACAAACTACACGTGTTCGATTACCTTCATCAAGTAGCGGTGCTGAATCCTATACCAAATTGCGTCCAGTTACTTATTCCGATCGATTCATCAACTATGGGCCGTATGATAAGATTCCACCAACCACTGCCGATGAATCAGGAAACGAAGAACTTCGTGTTCATGTTGAAAACAATACGCCATTTTTGACTGTTGAAAATCTAAGTCGTACTATTCAGATTTCACATTGGGCTGGAGCAATTTCCGTTGAAGAAACATTGGATGTTGTTCATACTGGAGCCAAACTTAAAGGACCATTTTCTCGATATGAATATCAACGGGAACCAGTTTCGAATGGTATTTCATCGATTCGGTCATGGAAAACACGATTACCTGCTGGTGCTCACGACATTTATTATCGTGATGAAATTGGAAATATCAGTACTAGCAACGTACGCACCAGTTTGTCATCGGTTTATGTTGATATAAAGCCACGTTTTCCATTGTTTGGTGGATGGAAAACCAAATATATAATCGGATATACGCTGCCCACGAAAAATTATTTGTTCGCATTGAATACAAATACAATGACCAATGGTGATTATATTGTACGTATGCCATTTATTGATCATATCTACGACAATATGGTTGTCGACCAGGCAACAGTTCGTATTATTTTGCCTGAAGGTGCCAGTGATTTCCGTATCACTTATCCATATGATATTAAACGTGAACCGGATGAAATATTCTACAGTTACCTTGATACTGTTGGTCGACCAGTAATTGTATTGTCGAAGAAGAATCTTGTAGAATGGCACATACAACCATTTGAATTGCATTATAATTTCAAACCATTTTATCTTCTACAAGAACCATTATTGATTGTTGGTTCCATTTTTGGTCTATGTATATTAGTCATGGCTTTAGTTCGAACAAAAACATCTTTGGATGCTAATTGAAAATGATACATTTTTATTATTATAAGGATTTTGTATATTTTGTTTTTGAAAAACATTCTCGAAAATTGATACAAATAAAACTAATAAACATTTTAAACAAAACGTTGGCTTATTTTTTCGGATATCGATCGAAAAAATGATTGATTCCATTCCAGGGATTGTTGTTGAGCTTTCAATACATCGTTCAGTGAGAATTGACCTTCGGCCAGAATCGATACAGTTTTTGAATCATTATTTTTATTCGAAATATGAAATGTGGCTTTGATAAAATCACAGGTTTCCAATGTAAACGTTATTGGTTCAAATGAACGAACATTTTTTTCACATTTTTCTTTAAATTCTTTTTCACGATAAATTAGTCCGTCACGTTTGTCCAGAATAAGACCACATGTTGCAATACAATAATTTAATGGATAACCACAATCGATCAATGATAATGTGATGGCATTCAATGATGTCGACAGAAATGAACTACCTTTTTCGATTTCATTCAATATGATATAGGTTCGCGAACGAGGTAATAATGCATGGTAGACCATCGGACTGAATGTCATTTTGAAATAAAATTCATAATAAAACAATGATTTATCTATGAAACTTCAATTAGTATCACAATATTAATAGCTTTCGGAACAAACCTTTGGTTAGATTTTTGATCTGACCCAATGGATATAGTAGAATGACAAAATAATTTTTCTTTAATAAATTTTGACTCGAAGCAATTGGATTCGGTCCAAACAATGAACATTGAACAATATTATCGCCAAAAGTATATAATGATGATCCAGAGCTTCGATTTAAATTCGAAAGAATCATTACATGATCAGTATCAGAGGCCATTCTGGAATTTTCAAATGATAAATAACAAAAAAAAACTCACGTGGTCAGAGACACGACAATAATCGATTGTATCGAACGATTCGAATGAAATTTTCAATTGAAAATTGCTTCGATTCGTAGAATTCCTAATTGTAATTAAGGAATTTAGTCATTAAACTTGTTTCAATAGAAAAATGACCACCATTATGATCTAATCAAATATAATCAATTTTTTCGAATGGAAATTCCAAATTCAAATTGGCCTTGATCATTGATTTCAATGAAGGGGTTTCCTTTCAATTGATTTTCTTCTGTTCAATTAAATTTGTTGAAAATTTCTTAGAAATCAATCAAAAGAATTACAATATTGAAACAAGCATCATCTCTGAACGGAAATTACCAGTTTAAAACTGGAAATTTTTCACTGGAAGTGTGAATTATCGATTCGAATGGCCATTCAATTGTTATTATGACAGGTAATAATCAAGCAATCGTGTGGTCACTTGGTTGTGACCAATCATGAAATTGCCAACAAAATTAATTTAATAATGATGATGGATGAATGATAAACAACAATTGCAACCAAATTTGATTTTTTTCATTTAATTTTGACGAATTTTTGAAAACTTTAAAATTGTTTTTCCCCACTTGATTGATGTATGAATGAGAGATATTTCAACATTTTTTCATTTAAAATTAATTGATCTCAATTTAACTTGATTCTAAATCTTTTTTTGATTGATTGTTAAGATTAATTATCACAGGAAAAATCATATTCAAAAACCTTATCGATGATCAGTTGTTTCAGTTGGCCATTTTGATTTGCCATCAATTTTCTTGGAAAACAAATTGATTGATGAAACCTTTTTTGTTGTTGTTTTGTTTTTGACAAAAATTTTCCTTTTTTCTTGAACTTGAAACGGTAATGTTTTGTTGATGGATTTGTGGTGTATAACATACACTAAAAATAATAATGTATCCTTGAAAATCTGTCAAAATTTTAATTAATAACAGCCAAATTCAAATCAAATCAATAATTTTTGTTTTTTTCGAAACAAACAAATAATTTACCTGTACCGATGACTATGATTGATGGAATGAATGGCTTTCTTGTTGTTGTTGACTGATTTGTCTGCTGTTGGAAATGGAAATAGAAGTAAATTATGTTGTATAGATCAATTAGTAAATGATCATTATCAATCTTATCATATAATCACCTACTTACACAAGATATCCAATGATAATGACATTTTTTGCACTTTCTCCCCAAAAACAATTATCATTGTCATTACCATTATTTTTCCATAATTTTGTCCCAAACCTTGAACCCGAATTTTTTCAAATTAAAATTACCGAAAAAATGTATTTGAAAGGGGAAGAAATTGTAACAACAGGTCCTTGGTATCGTCTTTTTGTGATTAGGGAAAAACTGTTATTATGCATAAGTCATGTGTTGGCTAAAATTTCTAAATATTGTCGATTGTTGCTCAATCGATCTTCATCATTATTGCATCGTACCACAAATAAACAGAAAATATTGATTTATCATTGAACATGAAGGAAAGGGGATGTGGGAATAGCGAACAGCAAAACGACCTTTGTTTGTCTATTGATTGGATGGCCCTAAGGCAATTTGTTGGTTTGCTCAAATAAGAAAGAGTTGTGTGTATGTGATAAATAGCATACTATTTATAACTTGCATGTCTTTCAATGATTTGCCCATCAATTCAATTGATTTATGGAGGGGAAGTGAAAAAGTAATACTTGATTTCATTAATTACAAAAATGTTTTGCATAATCATAAACAATCAATATGAATTTGTATCCTATATTTTAGCCAAAAGATGGCTATATTCGTTGAACATTATCTCTAAGAAAATGACTTTTTTGTGGAGGCAATTCAATTTTTTTCTTTGAAATTCTTTATTTTCTCGATTTTCAACTTGTTTATTTTTCTTCTGTTTTTCAAATATCGAAACTTGATCTTAAAAAAATCTAGATCTGGTTTAATTAGTTTGATTTGCTAATTCATTCAACGTCGAGATTGATAAAAAACGAGAATTCAAAGCAAGAGAACAAAAATTATTCGACCTTCGATGCAGCAATTACCACTACAAAATATTTGAATTTTATTTTTTGTGAAGAAAGAAAAAGAGAGATAAACACGTCCAACATGTATCTGTATGTATTCTGAAGGGATGAATTTCCTTCTTATTTAGAGAAACAAAATGCGGATAATAATAATAAAATCAAGTTAATAAAAATCTTTTTCTTCAAACAAATTCATAAATTTGAATTTCCATCAAAAATGATGATGACGTTTATTAAAATGATTCAACTTAATAATTTTCCTTAGGAAAAAATAGCCAAATCATAAAACTAATTGATGGATAGACATCATCATCATCATCATCAAGTTTGACAGATGTGATAGGAGGAGTAGCAATGAGAGAATGAGCAGTCAGATAAGACATTTGAACATTTCCCACACGGAATTATTGATAAGAAATTTCGTAGGAATAAATTGAGGAAAATCAAATCAAGATAGAAGGAATGTGGAGATGTGTTGTGTGTTTCGATCCGTGGTGTGTTTCCAGTCTAACATCAGCAATATTGACGAAATGTCCAATATTTGACCACCATTTGATTCAATCGATCAAATCACACAAAGTTTTTACTGTTGGGCGTACGTGCAACAAGCACCCATTACAAGACCATCATAATGATTTATTATCTGTTTGCTTGACCAAGAATCCATGTTATCTGAATTTTGCTAAAGTCATTGTTCAAACATAAGCTTGTGGTATGATGAACATTAAATTGACCTTTTCGGATATTGGTTTCAATTTTTGATTTTTCGTTGTTATTGTCCAACATTGACTAGCATAACCTCGAACATAAATTGTGTCCGTGCTCAGCCTCATCATTCAGGTATGTGTTATTTGTCTGTAATCTTGTTCATCTCTTACCATAATGGTCAAGAACGTAGCATATATGCCAACGATGATAATGATCATTGCTTTTTTCTGGCATGTATTTCGTTGATCAATGAACAAAACGGACAGCACATTTCAATGTTTACCACATTTTCTATTTTATATCGAAATTAGTGCCAAGTTAACCTTTACCGCGTGGTTAATTTTTTCGTATTTTGATGATCACTTCCCCTATTTCTCTTTGTTTAATTTTGCCTTTCGTAATGATGGTTGATGATAATGATAATGATAATCAACGTCAATTGTCTTGTAGTTTTTTTGATTATTCATCATTATCATGGGCCATGATCATCTTCATCATTAATGCTAGTTTAGTTATTTCTTCAATATTTCCGACGCATCATATCCGTAAAGAGGGATGATTACAAATTATAATGATGTCATTTGTTTTATGTTTTTCTAATTTCGCATGCCAATTTAGTTTTCCCAACAAATAGTTTTTTGGGCAGAAAACAATCAAGTGAATGTTTTATTGACAAACGCACACACACGTTCATACTATCGAAACGTGTGTCACACACGTGTGAATGGTTTTTTGTAGGATTCGAAAAAAATAGTTTTGAAAATATTGAGATTTTCGATGACGATAGACAAGGATGTTTTTATAGCTATAGATCAAAATCTCTCACTGACCTTAATGGTTTTATTTATTAAATCACATTGTGATCAAATATCATATCTCATGAAATATATTTGATTCACACATTGAATGACGATCCTCTCTGATCTGAATGAAATTGGCTATTTTATTATCATCAGGAAACGTTGACGTCAGAATGACCATGTTTTCATTGAATGAATGAATCATTGGTCATTGTAATCGATATCATCGATGTAATCGACAAAATTCGCCCTTCCTTTTTCGGAGTTGAGAGGGGTAAAAACACATTTTAGACATTCTCAGGAAAAAATTATTGACATTTTGGGAATAAAATCTATTGATCTCATGACATGATTTGATGAAAATTTTGTTTTTTCTTGCGTATGTGCGATATGGGTGTGTTATTTGTTCAATGACATTATGATTGCCATCGCAAATACATCTGCAATGTTTGTTTATTTGGAAAAAGAAAGTAAAAACAAATGGAATCAATGTCAATTTTGTCAATCGATATTTGTCGAAAGATTTTTTCAATTTCTTTTCGTCATGAGGATGGTGAGAATTTGCCTCAAAATGTTTAACAACAGCCATAAACTTGTAAAATACCAAATGACCAAATGCAAATGTTTGAATTAATGAATGAAGGAAAATTTTTCAATATTCACCATTCAACATTTTATGACATCCGCAATTTATCATTATTATTATTTAACTACAATTATACCAACATAAACATACTAATTATTTTTCAACCTAACCTCACTGAACTATGAATCACAGCCATAGTCATAGTCATAGTCATC